TACGAGTCATTTCTGCCCATTTATTATTTTGTGTAGTACCGGCGAACAATATTAATATCCAAGGTGTTGACGATGATGTAGAACTGCTATCGGATGGTGATGGTATTGAATATTGAAATAAATCACTCACAGATGTTGATGTTAAGTCGTAATCCAATGGCTTCGAAAAGCCTTCGACTCTTTCTTTATCATGTCCTTCTGGAATCAGTTGAATTCGACTATCCCACTCTGTGAGACGAATATAACTCCAATTTGTATATATTGGTGTATCATGATATTTGGCACTTTTAACTTCGATACGAATCGAATCTAGACATGTCATATTCTTAAGATATTTTCCTTCTTTATCATCGTCCAATCGACATTGTTTAGGAATCAATTATTGAACTCTAAGTAATTCCCTTACAATTTGTACTGTGTCGTTTAACAATGTATCGCTATTTTCTATATCGAAATTGTTTGATCTAAATTTTGCTTCATGTAAAAGTTGTCCAATAAGTTTGACATTGTTGACTATATCGATTGAGAGTTTTTTTATATAATCAATTCTTCCATGAGCTTGTTTACATTTGAGATCATAACCAATTTTTAAATGTTTATTTTCTTCTTCAATGGTCCGAACTTGATCTAGGTAGTTCTCGATTTTTTGATTTATCAATTTTTCATTGATCTTTTTCCGATGTGCTAATAATAGATTGATTTCTTTATTCCACTCATCACTTATTGATTTGATTTCCTGTGCATTCGGTCGTAGCGTAAGATGATCTGTATTATTCAAATTGCATTTCAATGCTTTTAAATTCATTGTTGACATTTGTAATAATTCATAGCGAAGCAATTTTGTCAAATGTATAAGATAAACAATAACGGGTTCATCATTGAGCATTTCAATTTGAGGATATTTTGCTCTCAGTTGACCGATCGTTTGTTGTAGAAATACAAGTATTTATTGTCCTTCATCATTTAATAATTTGAAAACAAATGAGTAACGTAATCGTTTCGAATTTGAATTAGGATTGGTTGTTGTTGGTGCAGCAAATGAACGAAGTATACATGATGCTTGTGTCCAACCTTGTACAAGAAATTGCGCCAAATGGTTGTACCAATCGAGACTTTTATCGTTATTTTCAATATGATGAAAATGACGAATTAAATTTGTTTTTGATAAAGCTTCAAGCAAATGAATATCATCGAAATTTAAACGAGCTTTCATTGTACTGTTGTACTGATTTTGTAGAGAATCGATCTGTTTTTGTTGGTATTGTTGAAATAGTTGAATAAAAAATAAGGCAAAATGATCGACAAAATTTTCCAATACGGATTGTATGTGACTCAATGGTTCGACTAATTTCTTTCGTTCATTATATAAACATTCTATAACCATGAGTCCGTGGTCTAATAGCAAATCTAATTGATCTTTATAAATATATTCTAAGAATTCGGTGTGCATTGTATCGAGAGATGATGAACATGACAAATGAATCGACACTTTTAAATTTGTTAGAAATGGTTCAATATTGTTTAATGTTTCAAGTTCCAATTTATCTGTCATATTCTCAAGAATTTTTGTCATTAAATATTGTGTATTATTGACAAGAACATTCAAATTATAACTGACTTGAACTAATGGATTTGTCTTTAATGTTGATTTTACGATACGTCCACTATTCTTCCAATCGTCGATTTCTATCAGTCCTTTCATTTTTCGTTCTAAATCGTTAATAATTGCTACTGGATTGTAACAAATATCGCCGAAGATGTGTGTATATCGAAGTTGTAAGCTATGTCGTAGTAGAGAGAAATCATAAATTAGATTTTTGTGAACTTCTTTTAATGAATATTCATCAACGGGTAAACTTGTACCAGGTAGATGTATACATTCACGAAATCCGCTCAAAATCAATAGTCTCTTCATACAATCATCCCATTCACATGAATCATTGCCAATATCGAGTTTCATTGTTTTCAATTGTGCCAATGTTAATTGATTTGTTTGTTGTGTTTTAAATAGTTGAACGAGAAATATTGTGATGCGTGCATATAGACTAGAACAATGGTATAGTAGAATTGATAGGACTTTGGACGAGTAAATAACTCGTGCATCATCCGCGAACTTGTCGATTTGAAAAGCAACTCGACTGAGTTCTTTTGTATTATGATGCAGCGTATCCACAGTCATAGTAACTGATGATATTTGAGCTACATCGACAATCGGAAGAACAATATCTAATATGTTAGAAACAAGTGCATTTATTTGATCAACAGTCTTTTCGGTTTCTTTCACATATGAACTTCGTTGATTGGCCATATCATGTAACCAGTTTCGTACGGAATTGAATAGTTGAATGCCTATTAATTTGTAAGCAAGACAAGAACGGTGAAATATTTGATATAGATTATTATCCGATTTGAGCCATGAAAGAGCCTCATCAAAATCGTTGTAGGATTGTGTCAATTCTTTGTTTACTTTATCAAGAAATTCATTAACGTGCGATGCCAATTGATTGAATTCTGTTTCCTCAAGTTTTATTAAGGCTGGCTTCGATTGGAATAGATATTCATAAAATTCACTTGATGTAATTAAACGTTGTCTTTCTTGAAGTTCACTCTTTGTTTGTTGTTTATTTTCGATTTTCTCTATGATTTGTGATGCTAAATGATTGCCTTTGACTTGTAACTGACGATTAATTTCCATAAGTTGACGAATTTGTTTAAGAGCTTCTTTATTCAAGTTGCTGTGGTAATCTTGCTCGCTTCTAATATATGCATTATCTGCATCTGTCTTAACGGTTTCTAGTTGTCCTCGTCTATTATGATCGGATGCCAATTTGCCTAGCTATTTTTCAAATTAGCTTTTTGAGCTTTATATTGTTGAAGATCTTGGTCATATTGATGAACAACAGCATCAGAAAATTGCAAATAATCTATAGCCTTTAAAGTACCACTTATGCCAAGTTGGTTTACCAATTTTAATATATTAGTTTGCGTTTCATCAGATAATTTGCTCAAGAGCGATTGTAATTCAAGTGCAAAGAATGAATGATATTCGTTACTTTCGGACAATTGATAAAACCAATGATTTTGAATGTCTACACTTTTCGCAGTTTCGGTCATTTGACGAGCAATAGTTTCAATCGATTCAATGAGCATTTTAGTTGCTGTCGTTTGATCATCGGAAAGTAGCGATAGCGATTCTGATGTATCACTTTTTAAGACAAATCGCTTTTCATACAATGTTTTAATCGATGTTCGCAAATTTGGGGGCTTTTCGTTTTCCACTCGGTGCTCAACCCTACATGAATTATTTGCTTCGAGAACGGTACAAATTGAATATTACCGAATTTCCCATGGTTAATATAAATGTCGATACGTATATGAAGGGAGTTTTTTCTACAAAGAAAAAAGTAAATGAAACTTTTAAGATTTTTCAATTCAATACAACTCAAAATGAACGAGGAAAGGTGAGGAAATGTTTTTATATTCACATGTGAAAGTGTCATGAGAGAAGTTTTATAGATCCTTGATCAAGTATCATTCGAAGCTATTCAGCCTTCTGTCTAAACGTTGATAGAAAAAGGTTGGCGATCGATTCAAAACCAGTGGGATTCGTATTCGATGGAATCTTTTTTGAATAAGATAAATATTTCACGTACGACTATTGACTATTGGAGTACTTCGAACAATTTTGAAGCGAATCTTTGTATACCAGTTTTGCAACTCAATCGCTTGAAAATCGCTAACGAAAGTGACAATAAATGGTATGAAATTCAAGGTGGCAGTGGTCTTTTAGCACAAGCGATGGTTGCTGATTGTCAAACAATTGAATCAAATCGATGTTCTATTCAATATTCCGCTTCCATTAGTCAAGTTCAATTGTTATCTTCGAATCAAATTCAATTGACAACAAACAATAATGTGAGCCAAACTTTTGATACAATAGTTGTGACAACAACGGCAACTCTTGCTCAAATGATTGATTTTGAACCACGTATCCACTTTGCTCAAAAATATTCAGCTATGAGACAAGTATATTATATTTGTGCAACAAAACTTTTTCTCTCGTTCAATGTGTCCTGGTGGTACACTCAAGAAAATATCACTGGAGGTTCATTGCTAACCGATTTGCTTATTCGTAATGTTTATTATCCAAGTACGAATAGTAATCAAACGGATGGTGGAACTATTCTTGCATCATACACTGGTGAACAA